GGCTAAAGATAAGGTCAGATTGTTTACAATTCCTTGAAGCATTGTGGTGGCCACAACTGGTACATGCTACTAGGAATTCTTCCCATTTTCCTGGTCTGTGAGGGGCAAGCATTAGTTAGGTAAATGTTCGCATACCCAGGCCAAATAGGCAGTGGCCATAGTAACCTCAATTCCTTGGTTGCCTCAGAGGCATCCAGTTGATGTTCCCATCAGAATACCCAACTGATATGAGATGTAAACATGGAGATGCATAAGAAAGGGAGACATGTATTCATCCACTGGGGGTATAGGAATGAACAGAGGGTTGATAAACATATGCTCCTCATTAGAAAGTAAAATCCTATGGGCAGAAACCAGTACTGATGAAGATTTAATGTGATCTGGTCTTCCTCCTCCACCTTCACTCTACTTTGGAGTGTTAGCCACCCATCCCAACCCCAAACAACATGAAGTTGATGTCTCAGCCATTATTATTTTCTCTTTCCCCTAAAAAAACAAATCAACAAAATACTCAGGACAGTAGCAAACACAAAGCAGTCTTCATTTCTTCCACACGTCAGAAACATTTTCAATTACAGTTCAGCTTCTCTGAGGTCCACACCAAGTAGTAAAATGCCAAGAGCACAGAAAAGCTGGGTTGGAGGGAATCGCTGTTAATGAGGCACTACGTGGGAGGTTTCACTCAGCCATTCCACCTGACAAGCTGGAGGCCCATGCAGGTCCCTGAGAAAAAGAGTCATTCTGGCTTATGCCCCGAAGGAATGCTACTCTGCACTCCCTCCTTACAGTGTGCCTATGAAGGCCACTGAAAAGAGAGGTCCTTGCTGAATCCTAACAAGAACTAATTCCTTCAGGAGCAGCTCTTTTAATAGTGGGGGTTTTCCCTTAGCAGAGTTTCGCATTGGAATTAAAAGACTCCAGCCACACTCACAGTTGCAGGTTCCACATTAGTCAGACTGTTTCCTAGGAGGCATCCATAGTTAGTAAGTTGTCACATCCTCTGATCAGTCAGGATACATTCTAGTGTGATTCTGGGTCTTCAGCTCAGCCATGACTCAAGCAAATGGGCAGAGCTGGAAGGTCACAGAGAGCCTAAAGTGCTAAGAGGTAAGTTATCCCAACGGACCTGGGTAGGAGGGATGTGAATGGTATTTCTGAGCCTTCCAACTATATAGTGGATACCCTCAGTGTCCAAGCATAGCAGTAAATCTTTTTTAAAAGAAACCTATTTGGGGATTGCTCTTTCTTCTGACAGGCTTAACAGAAAACTCAAGAAAAAGTCCTGATGGGTACTCGCCCATGAGCCTCATCCTCTCCTTCAATGTTATAGTTGCTTTTGGCAATCCGCAACCCATCCCCAAATACCCAGAAGATAGAATCAGACAATGCTTTGCCTTGCTTCAGCCTCAAAGGATGGCTGTGCGTTCTCAACCCTGGCCTGAGGGTGCCGGTGGCAGCAGACACAGTGGAGGTAGTCCACCACATTATGGGTGAAGAGTGAGCGCAACGGATGCAAATACTGGAAGAAAAGGAGCATGAAGCCAATGGAAATCAGATAAGCAATAATGAGCTGCAAAGCAATCAAGGAATGACAATAATTGAGTAACACTTTCACTCCAAAGAACTTAAAAACCAAGACCATAATCACATTCTCTACCAATCTCACACTATAGTGCAGGCCCATATGTCCCCAGTTCTGACCTTTGTCAACAAGGTCTCGGTCTGCCAACCTCAACTGCAAGGCTGACCAGCAGGAGAAGTTGATGCCAGCGTAGAGGACGGTGATGGAAATCAGCACCACGAGAGTGCCGACTCGGCTGAAATTCTTCTCGATGTTATTGGGCAACTGGGCACCACTTCTCCAGAACCTAACCCAAGGCTCAAAGAGGATGATCAAGAAGTTGAGCACTATGAAGGGCACAGCCTTCATTTTCAAGGTGGCTGAGAAGAGCACCAGGATCATGAGGCGGGAAGTGATCTCCAATGTCCGCCAGATGGTGATGCAAAGGACTTCTAGTGGCCCAAGGCGAATCTTGTAGTCATCATACTTGATCTGGATAGCCAACATGTTGCAAAGGGTAGCCCCATAGGTGACAGATATCAGGGAAAAGACCATTAGCACAGCTGTAAAGAAAAACAGAACAAAACAAAAAAAAACAAGGAACAGAAAAAACAATCAGTCAATGGTGGTGGTGAAGCCTATACTCACATCCAGAGGTCCAGAGAGATGATAGGTGGAACTTGAGAGCCCCAGTTAAGAGAAAATGCACATACAATCACAACTATGTAAACACATAGCATACACCTGAATAGACATTTTTCCAAAGAAGACATACAAATGGCCACCAGATATATGAAAAGGTGCTCAACATCACTAGTCATCAGGGAAACGCAAATCAAGACCACAATGAGCTATTGCGTCACACCTGTTAGAATAACTATTCAAAAAAGACAATTAACAAGTATTGGTGAGGATGTGGAGAAAAAGGAATGCTTGTACATCATCTGTGGGAAAGTAAATTGGTGTAGCCATTATTGAAAACAGCATGGAGGTTCTCCAGAAAATTAAAAACAGAACTATCATACAATCCAACAATCCCACTTCTGGGTATATTTCATTTCATATCCAAAGGAAATGAAATCAGTATCTCAAAGAAGTATCTGCACTCCCATGTTCATTGTAGCTTTATTCACAATAACAAACATATGGAAACAACCTAAGTATCTGTTGACAGATGAAGAAAATGTGGTATATATATATATACGATGGAATATTATTTAGCAATAAAATGAAGAAAATCCTGCCACTTGTGACAACATGGATGAACCAAGAGGACATTACGCTAAGTGAAATGAACTAGACATGAAAAGACAAATATTGCATTATTTCATTCATGTGTGGAATCTAAAAAAAGTTGAACTCATAAAAACAGAGTAGAATGGTGGTTGTCAGGGGCTGGGAGTCGGGGGAAACGGGAGGATTTTGGTCAAAGAGTACAAACTTTCAGTTATAAGATGAATAAGTTTGGGAAATCTAATGTACAGCATAGTGACTATAGTTGATAATAATGTAATATACACTTGAAATTTTCAAAGAAAGTGGATCTTAAGTGTTTCACCACACACACACACACACACACACACACACACACACAAATGACAACTATGTGAGGTGACAGATATGTTAAATAGCTTGGTTGTGGTAATCACGTCACAATGTACACATATATCATTGTATACATACACACCTTGTACACCTTAAATATATACAATAAAACAAAATAGCATGCACACAGAAAGAAAATGAAAAAATAAGAACCAAAATATCTTTTTTGTGTGTGTAATAGGATTTGATATCAGTTTTTTAAATCTTTTTTCTACATTTCTATTTTATAAATTGCCCATGATGAACACACAGTGCACTACTTTAATAATCATATAAATATACAAAATAAACTTCAAAAAAACTACTAACATTGAGAAATCAGTAACATAAGAAGAGTACATATAAAGGGATTGGGCAGATCTACCTGATGAAGCAAGCTTTTGGGCTAACATTGAATGAAGCAGGGAGAACTCTATCTGAAAAAATCCAGTCTTAGGAAACTCACAGAGAATGCCCTTGCTAATAGAAATCCCTTCTTTGATGTTTATCTTCTTCAAGGAACTAACCTTCTTTGTGTGTGCTTCTAGAATGCTTAACTCCAGTGACATGTGTCAACATAAGTACTGGATGTAATCCTAGCACTCTGGGAGGCCAAGGCAGGAGGATCACTTGAGGACAGGAGTTCAAGACCAGCCTGAGTAAGAGTGAGACCCCGTCTCTATTAAAAATAGAAAAAAATTAGCCGGGCGTGGTGGGGCGGGAGTGCCTGTAGTCCCAGCTACTGGGGAGGCTGAGGCAGGAGGATCGCCTGAGCCCAGGAGTTTGAGGTTGCTGTGAGCTAGGCTGATGCCACGGCACTCTAGCCTGGACAACAGAGCAAGATTCTGTCTCAAAAAAAAAAAAAATGTTTATTCTCCAAGGCATCTGTAAAACAAACAAAAATGGTGTATTGGAAATTCCATGAGGGCAGAAGGGACTGTGTCTATTTTGTTCACTGCAATATTCCCAGAGCCTAACACACTGCCTAGAACATAGCAGGTGCTCAATAAATGTTTGTGGACTTAACGAAGACTTCTGAGTTTGGAGAGGCAGCATAAAATACCTAGGATTAGAAATCGTTGGCTCAGCTGTGTAACAGCTTGTGGAAATCACTGAACATCTATTTATGTGCCTGAGTTTCCCAATTCACTGAGATACTCTAGAGTTGCTCATATGCGTCATCGGAATGCGTCATCTACCCCCATGCTTTAGGAATCCCTGAAATTCCAGCAGAGTGGCTCAAAAATGTACTGTTTCCTAGTCCATGGTATCCCTAGCACTACATGTTAGAGTAGGAGGCTCCCTAACCTGCTCTACCTAAACCTCAACTATAGATCACACAGATGGCCCTTTCCTTTTCTTCCTTTATGTCAAAGGATACTGATTACTAAGAAAATTCTAGTGCTCTCAAGGAAAGTGGGAAGCCTAAGGAATACTCATCCAAAAGAAAAGCTGGAGCTTTCTGTTCCTATAATGACACTGGACCCAGAGAAACTAGATGCATGGAGATGTCAACCAATGGGCAAGAAAAGTGAAGATTTCTCCATGAAAATCCAAAAGGAAGCATAGCTCTGTTTCTGAGTTCTTCTTCAGTTGTAAGCAGAGTGTTGGAATCTCAAAGACTGGAATGGGAGACTCCCAAAGTGGCTACTCTAGACTTTCTCAACCACTCAAAATTCCATCCTTAAGAGCTGACGTTCCTTGTGGATCCGGGAATGAAAGTCAGAGCGTTTATGTAGCCAAGTGTGGCGATGCTTTCCCTTACATTAGAACTCATTTACTGAGAGTGGTATAATAGGAGGAAGAAAACCTGATGCTGTCAATAAATGTAAAAACACTTTCTATCTGCCTCCCTACAAACAGACTCATGCCATAATAGATCAAAATACTGCTATAGTTAGAAATATAGGCTTTGAAGGCAGACACCTTGGATTCCAATCCAATCTTTGCCACCTACTAGTTATGGGACTTTGGGGAATTTACTTAACCTCTCAGTGCTTCTGTTTACTCATTTGTAAAATGGGGATATAATAATTATTTCATAGGGTTGTTGTGAAGATTAAATGAAAAAATTACATGTAAAGTGCTTAGAGAAATGCCCCTAGAACCTAGCAAATGCTGTCTTCTAGCTGTCTTCTTCCTTCTTCTTCTTCTGCCTCCCCCTCCTCCCTCCTCTTCCTCCTTCTTCATCATCATTATCCCATTTCCAAAAGTGTAATAGATGCATTTACTTTACCCAGGCACTGTCCTAGCACTTAAAAAATCAGGTCACTTAAAAACTGATAAAACACCTAGAAAAAAAA